GTGGGCAGGTAAAGGGTCAGATTTAAAAATAAAATATACAAACTGTTAAATACCTCATATAATTATAAAAAATAATTATGTTGATCCATACATTTTTTAAAAATTTATGGTAGTTTTAAGTAAAAAAACCCAGCACAGGGGGGTCGCGGCACAGTGATGACGTGGTATAGTTGGATCAAGTATAATGATATCTGACAGTGATTAAAATCACTATAAAAAAAAAAACGCTTCGATGCAAATCTTTAGATACTGTTTAATTCTAAAAAATTGATGGATTATTCCAAAAGTTACATGATCTGCTAGTTCCTTATTAATATCCTGATTAAGATAAAGTATGTCAAATGAAAAAGGGATTACTAGAAAATATTATTTCACATAAAAAAATTAAGTTGATCCTCACACTTTTCAATATGTTATAGCATTATAAAGTTAAAAATATAAAAAATAAAATCGAGAATTTTCACACAATTAATAGTATTAGGTAGCCATTTTCACCGTGAAGATAAAATTAAGTCCGAAATATTTTTTCTCCATAATAAATTACATTACATTAGCTTTAATTTAATATGCAGGGTGTTCAGTAAGTCAGGAAACGGGTTTCTATTGTTCTCATTGTTTGTAACAATGAGAACAATAGAAACCCGTTTCCTGACTTACTGAACACTCTGTATATATATAAGTGTCAGACTTTTCGGAACATTTTCAAAAGTTAAGTTGAAAACATTAATTTTTTGTGAAGAAGTTGTCATTTTAAATCCCCCTTTGTTGGCAGATAAAAGGTTAGATTTAAAAAAAATATATGCCACATGATAGGTAAAGACATCAAGCATCTATATAAAGAAAAAATTGACTGATCCATACATTTTCCAAAAAGTTATAGCATTATTAAAATAAAAATATAAAAAAGAATTTTTTTACAAAAATCGTATTTTTTTTATTAACTTTGATGTCTATTTTCACTATGAAGACAAGTCCAGAGGTCAAATTTTTATTTTTCATAATAAAAAATATTTCATTACCTTTAATTTAAGATATATATAAAAGTGTCAGACCTTCCGGAACATTTTCAAATGTCAAGTTGAAAAAATTAATGTTTTGTGAAAATGTTGTCATTTTAAATCCATCCCTGTGGGAGAATAAAGGGTCACACATAAAAAAAATATATACCAAATGAATGGTAATGATATTATGTATCAATATAAAAAAAGAATTTTATTGATTGGGTTATTTTTTAAAAAGTTATGGCAATTATAAGTAAATAAATAAAAAAATTCCGAAAATTTGCAATTTTTAAATTTGTAATTTTTTTGGATGTTTCCCCCATTTACGGGGAACGAGGGAAATTTTTTCGACTGGATACGATTTGTGATCTTTTGACGTATCATTGAAAGAAATCGGTTCGGTGATAGCTGAGAAAAAGTGGTAACAAACAAAAAAAAAAAAAAAATAATAATAATAAAAAAAAAAACACATCTTAGTAAAACCAATACCTTCTCAGCTTTGCATCGAAGCTAAAATTTAAAAATTGTTGGAAATAAGCTATTTTTATATTTGGAATTTTTTTTTGTAGATTTTCCTCATTTACAGGGAACTAGGGAAATCTTTAAAATTTTTGAGTGTTGTCTTCATACGAATCATGACCTTTTGACGTATTGTTGTAAGAAATCAGTCCAATGAGATCTGTGAGAAAGTGGGTAACAGACACAAAAATAAAAAAAAAGACATCATAGTAAAATTAATACTTTCTCATCTTCGCATCGAAGCTACAAGTAAAATTAAATTAATATTAGTGTTATTTTATTACAGATATAATTTTATTAATCTTATTATTATAATAATCGAAAAGAAATAAACACTAGTCTTCAGAAAACAACTTATACTACGCTTAAATAATACACGAGTGTAATAAATTACCGGGTTAATGTTAATCGAAGACTTGTGGCGGCCGTGCAACTCATATTTATGTTAACGTCAACGGTTTTCTATAAGCGTTAAGACATCTCGGGTTTTGTTAATGTGTAGTTTAGGAAGCACAGCACGGCCGGTGTATTACGATCTTGATTCGAGTGGTATCAAAATCAGCCGATGGTAATACCCAGGCCGCGTCAATGTAGATGAAAATTAAAAGTACACATAAAATATTCATTTTTTTTCAGCTATTATTAAATAATTTTTGTAATATTACATTATCACTTGTAATATTAAAATATTATATTATGTTATCTTTTGTACATGTATGTCATATATAATGAATTCACAAGATCACCAAAATAGGGTTCCCTTATTTAAAACTTAAAATAATCAAAAACTAAGCATTTAAATCTGATTATCGTACAGATTCAAAGTAACGCCTATGTGTGGGTTCTCAATTAGGTCCAACCAATCACATTTAACTATTAATTAAGATCTACAGTTTTTAAGATCACACTAGGGATCGCTACACGACCCTCGTCTACTATAAAAACCCATTTTTTCCTATTAAAATCAGTTCTTTCGGCGATTTTAAAATACAGAAAATCTGCGACACTCTACTCAAGATTCTTATTCTCTGGGACTTAGTTGATTTTTTAATTTATTTGGTCTTAGAATATTTTTCTTTAAAATTAAATGACACTTAAAGATTTTAAAGTGAATTTTGTTTTGGTGAATCTTTTATTTTAATTTAATTTTTTTTTTTAATTTAAATTTAAATTTAATTAAATTTGTTCATTAAATAATAATGTTTTATTTTATCGTGGAAATAAATGTCAATTGATATGTTAAAGCTCAAACATTTTTTTGAAAATTATTTTTATATATTATAAACCCGAATCAACTCTAATTTTCTCAGTTAATGGTAAATATTTATTATATGACTAAGTGTGTTGCAACTCTATACTTATTGGGTAGCTAGTCATTTATGGTTTAATGTCTTTATTCTAACAAACATCGCGCCGGCAGACAGAGTAAAGGTTGCAATTAAAGGTTTTTAAAGTTAGGTGTATTAGGTTAGAATATATTTGTAAGCCTGTGTGTATTGGGTAGCTAGTCTATTATGGTTTAATGTCTTTGTTCTAACGAACATCGCGCCGACAGACAGCACAGAAAAACTTACGAATATATTTTTTAGTGTTTAATTTTTGTCTTGGTGATTATTGTGCCGCATCCTTTCAAGGCGATACCGCCGGGACACATTGGGCCACAACAATCCCGCCTTGACAAATCTTTTACATAGATATAAATATTTCTGAATCTTGTTTTGACTAGGCCAGAGGAAAATTTAAGAAATATTGGTGTCAATATCTCAATAAAATATAATCTCATAAATAATATACTCATTCTACAAAGTCAACTAAGGATACATTATTTGATTATAATTATAAAAAAACATAGAGTGTATAGAATCTCCTGCATATAATAATACAGCCATAGATTTTGTGTAACGGTTTCGCATTATTTATAATAAACGCTTTATTCTCAAACGGTCATATTTACTGTCGAACTCGTAGTTTACAACGTGTGAAATACAGTGTGAACTCATAATCAACATTGGATTGCCTAAAATAAGCATTACATTACGTGGGATACAAGGTAAGTACAAATTTAAATTTCCACTTTAAATTATATACTCTTTTTTTTCTTTTTGGTTTATTACAAATGTAATTAACTATATTATATAATATACAATTTTATGTATTAAAATTTTCAACCAAATATTGAGTTTATCCTTCCATTTTACCCAATATATTTTTAAACTAAATTGAAGTATCATAAATTTACAGATAGAGTGAATTAATGAAATAATTATTAAAATCGTTAATATAAAAATAGAGCGAATCCAGTCTGAAATTAATGTTAAACTTTTGTTAACGAAAAATAAATTTATAACTTAATATAATTCAAAATTTATAATTAAAAAACCCAGCACAGGGGAGTCGCGGCACAGTGGTGACGTGGTATAGATGGATCAAGTATAATAATATCTGACAGTGATTAAAATCACTATCAAAAAAAAAAACGCTTCGATGCAAATCTTTAGATAGTGTTTAATTTTAAAAAATTGGTGGATTATTCCAAAAGCTACATGATCTGCTAGTTCATTATTAATATCCTAATTCAGATAAAGTATGTCGAATGAAAAAAGGATTATTAAAAAATATTATTTCTCATAAAAAAATAATGTTGATCCATACACTTCTCAATATGTCATAGCATAATAAAGTTAAAAATGTAAAATACAAAATCGAAAATTTTCACACAAAAATAGTATTCGTTAGCCATTTTCACCGTGATGATAAAATAAAGTCCGAAATTTTTTTTTTGCATAATAAAGAACAGTACATTAGCTTTAATTTAAGATATATATAAAAGTGTCAGACCTTCCGGAACATTTTCAAAATTTAAGTTGAAAAAGTAAATTTATTGTGAAAAAGTTGTCATTTTAAATCCCCCCCCGTGGGCAGGTAAAAAGTCAGATTTATAAAATATATATAAAATATACCAAATGAAAGGTAATGATATTATGCATCTATATAAAAAAAAATTATATTGATATGTTTATTTTTGAAAAAGTTATGGCACTTTTAAGTAAAAAAAATTGAAAAAATTTCGAAAATTAGCGATTTTTAAATTTGTAATTTTTTTGGAGGTTTCCCCCTTTTACGGGGAACGAGGGAATTTTTTTCAATTTTTAAGGGTAATGTCTTCGACTAGATACGATTTGTGATCTTTTGACGTATCATTGAAAGAAATCGGTTCGGTGAGAGCTGAGAAAAAGTGGTAACAGACACAAAAAAAA